TGCTGGCCTGTACCTTTTTGGGAACTTGTTCCTGCTGATTATATTCAGAGGAAAGAATCCTTGGTTGACAGTCTCTACCTTTATGGGGTCTTCTGATAAGAGAGTTGTGGAGTTTAAAAGAAATCTCATTCTTGCTTGCGCTCAGCCTGCCTTTTTAGTGGGTGTAGGGGGGTGGGTCAGGCAGGCCTGTGCGCCTGTCCTGGAAGGACGTGAGGCCATAGGACTGCAGAGGCTCACTCATTTCTCCCTCAGCCCTGCCCCTTTTGCAGCCATTCAGAAGTTTCAGAGGGGTTTGCCCTGTCCTTTCAGGGCCCCCCAGTCAGGAAGAACCTCTAGAAGGCAGAGAGCATTGCATCCAGGCCCTGTGAAAGGTGCAGGAACAACAGGTCCCAGGGGTGGTCACTGTTGCCAACAAGTATATTCTCCAGAGCCAGCTCCAAGGAGTTAATTGATGTGTTTTCTTTTTTCTGGAAACTGGTGATTAACTTTGTTCAGGTATAAATGTATGTGTATAAAGGTGCTTCCTTCCTGAAAGCTTCCTCTAAGTCTGGTGAGTAATCTAGTCTCTCCCTCTTCCCTTTCAGCGGATAGCTCTGACAACTCTGATTTGGAAGATGACATCATCTTATCTCTGAATGAGTGAGGAGCCATCACCGTGTGCAAGACATTCCTGACAGGCGAGAAACTGAGTCAGATGAATTGAGAACACCTTCCTTTCCCTTTCTCCCAGGGCTGTCTTTTAAGGAACTGCATGCCCTGCATTCAGAGGATTATGGCTTAGAGAGCCTCACTGGAATCTGAGGGTCCTTCTAAAACAGTAACAACCACAAAAAAGACAACAGGGGTTAGGCCCTATTCTGCTTCCCCCTTCTCCTAGGACGGACAGCTCTTTCCTCAAGGGGAAAAAAAAACATGTCTCTGGGGTTATTTCACAATATATTTTCTTTGTATAACGTTCTTTACTTAAAGAACAAGAAATAGTTTTTTATAAAATTTAAAAAGAAAAAAAAAAAAAAACAAAACCAGGCATTTATAACTGAGGGTATGAACTTATATCCACCAGGTCTCTTGTCCCAGCACTTCATTTTCTATGGAAGAAAATGATGTCTAAAGAACAATATAGAGGCATTTTTACATACGTATTTAAATGAAAAGGAAAATCGTGGTTTCTTAAATTGATAAGGATTAAGAATATTTTATTATAAATATAATATATGATTTTTTAACCTGTTCTGTTGCCTCATATGCTGTCAGGTTAAGTTGTTTTCCTTCTTGCCAGAGGTGGGGAGGAAGGCAGTGCTTATTTGCTGAGTAAATGCCTAGATTCACCCACCTTCATGGTTTGGGGGCAGCAAGGTCATTGTGGATATTGGTTTTGTGGAGTTGAGGGAACTTAGGATATAAGTTCACTCCCTCTATTTTTCTTTGTGATTCAGTTTTTCAAAAAATTTTTTTTCTTCCTTCTCCCCAATGTGGAAATTACAAATCAAAGGCCTTTTTCTTTAATGTAAAGTGTATTTATTTAAAAAAAATACAAAATAAACTACAAGTCTGTCTTTGTTTGTTTATGGCCTTTCCCTGTTCTCTTTTACCAAAGTGCGGTGGTCCCTTGCCCTGCAGCTCTAGCCAGCCAGTAGAGAAGACGCCTTCCAAGAGAGGCAGCCCAGGATGGTGGTGAGACTCATTCTGCCCAAATAAAGCACTCTGGGGAGAAAAGTAGCTTAGTCACAGTGTCTGACCCTGGTCTGCGGCCCTCCCCCCGAGGGAGTATTGGTCTGTGCCCAAGAACCACGCTGGGGTGGTGGAGGAGGTGTTTGGGCATTGTGTGCTGTGGACACCTCTCTGTGTCCTGGGTTCTGACTTAAGAAGGCAGCTCTGCAGTACAGATTTGGTGGAGCTGGGAAGTTTTGGAGGAACATGCTGGCAGAGTTAAGGAGCGGCCACCTCTAGAGTTAGTTGGGTGACCGTCATTACTGTTTCCTCAAGGGAGATTTAACAGCGGACCAGAGCTGTTCTTCACTTTTGGCAGTTTGGGGCAGCAGGGGCTTGGGCAGGCTCAGGCCTTCAAAATCAGCCAGTGGTTGTAGAACTGGGGTACTGCCCGGGAAAGTGCCACGTGCTCTGACCTTTTCACTTAACCCACCTCACCCTGCTTTCCTCCCACAATAAATAGGAAACCACAGTCTCTTCCTTTGAGTTACCCCCATAACAGCTGCTTGGTTTCTATTGTGTAGGTATCAAATAGCTAGAGACTTTTCTCCCTTTGCTGAGAGAAGAGGGGACAGATGTGGTTGTGAAGTAAACAAGACAAGACGGCTAAAACTCCCCAGGGGCTGGCAAAGCCCTCCTGGGCTTTGGAGCACCGTCCAGTTGACGACACACACTGAGGCGGGCCTGCGTCACACGTACCTCTTGGTCCTTTAGAGAGCAGAGCGCTCAGCCCTTACGTTGCTTCATGCCTCACACCTAACCAGTGGAGTAGCCTTGACTGCTGGTGCTGGATGCATCAGGAGGAAACAGGTTAAAAGTCAACAAGGAAAAACACTGTTCTAGCCATGAACTCCTCTGAGCCGCTGGCTGTCTCCCTCAACTCTGCCGGCAGCTCTTGGGAGGGCCTGCAGGTCTCTGGGGTGGAGATGGGGACCTCCGACAGGGAAGCGGAGTTGTGGTTGACTTGACAACACGCCCTGAGAGGCTAAGGAGACATCTGCCCTCTTTCTTACTATACCAGGGCTTAAGATCTGCGTCACTTAGAAGAAACACGTACAATACTAGCAAACCAACAGTGAGGCAAAATTTGCCTCAGATTGTTTTTTTTGTTTTGCCTTGCTAAGCGACACCTCAGACAGGACCCGAACCCCCAGGTGGAGGCTCTGGACACCTGCAGTTCAGTTGTTCTCTCTCTGGGACAGTCTAAAATCAATCAGCGCCTCGACCACCTTACCTGCTAGGTCTGAGAGTTCACAGAACCTGCTTTGTCTTAAGAGCCAAAGGAAGGAAGTGGTTAAGAGGGTCCAGAGAAGAGGAGCGGGAGGAAGGTCACACAGTGGGTGGGCTGTGGTTCTTTACCAAAACTCTGTAGTTCTTTTTGGGGCTATCCCTGAAGAGTAGACAAAGCAAGGGTTGAAGGGTCTTCTCTAACCAGATTTCCTAGCAGGTTTACATCTGGGAATGCTGCTGGGTGGTGTAGGATTCTGGGTTCTGAGCACCCACTCTATGAAGAACAGCCCCGAAAAGTTTTGAACTTCATGGGGCAAGGCAACTCTGGCCTGTGTATGACCCAGGCATTTCTCAAAGAACTGCAGGGAGCCCTGCATTGTGCCTTCAAGACACCCCTACCTCATTTGATCTGAACAGGGAGGGCCCACTCCTGCTTCCGGCAGTACGAGCTACCCTGGAATGGTGGAGCTGTGGTCAGCTGAGTCCCCCACGGACTTCCTCAGACACCTGGCAGTTGTGGCCACAGCTGAAGTACAAACAGGCAAATAAACGCACTTAACACTTCCTTTGTTCATGTTTTCTGTTGTGAACGTGCTTGTTCTCTCATGAGCACCCGCTGTGGCCCGGTGAGCAGTATCTCCCCTGGCACCTTCCCCTGTTCATTTTAAATCTCCGAGGTCCCAAAAAGCCACCTCTTTCCGTGTGGAGGCAAGTATCCTCCAGGCAGTCCACACTGAGCCTCATCCTCTACCTCAAAGCATCCCAGCTGTCACCTGTGTTCCCTTGCATGGGCTGGGCTTGTGGCCGAGAGGGTGGTGTGGCCACCAGAACCTGGAGTTCTGGCCAGTTGGCTCATTTCTCTTACTGAGGCTGCTGTTGTCCCTCAGCACTTCTGGGACATCCAGACTGCCACACAAACACTCCGAAGAGTGTAGCTGGCCTGTGTTCTCTGGTGACAACTGCTGTGTGACTGGGTTCCCTCCTGGTCCCTGACAGCGCTGGCTTCATTTGCCCTCTGACCTCATTAGAGACCAGGGAGGACAGCATTTTACTCTTTCAAGCCATCGTTCCTTCCCAGCTGGAGGATGCTTCCACATCCCCCCCAGCTGGGCTTAAATGGCTCTGACTAGCCCTGCCCCAGCGCCTTGGCACCTGGGACTTCATTTCCCCACAGAGGCACCTTTGTCCCAGTGGCCCCACCTCAGCAGCAGGGCAGGAGGCCACGGCACACGCTCTCACCTCACACCTGCGAAACAGGTACGTCAGTTAAGAGCATCTTCCTGATCTACCGTGCTCCCTTGCAGCGTTGCAAAAATTCTTCAGTCCAGGAGTTCAGTGTCCCTCCCCTAAAAAACTCTAGTGACTGGGCAGAGCCCCCCTGTCCCCACCACTGATACATTAGCCTCCAAACAAGGAAGAACCAGAATTTACAAACACTGGGTACATTTCAAGAATGAACCAAAAGAAGCTCCTTCCCGCCCTCCATTCTGGCATTTGGCCTCTGGTGTCCCTGGGAGTCTGAGGCAGCTCTGCCTCCAGCCGGGTGCTCCCGGGCTGCCACAACAGCCACATTAAGGCTGAATAAGAGGGGGAGCCTGCGTCGATCTGGGACCCCGAGACCCTGTGGCATCCATACTGTACTTGTCTTCCCCGTGACAAGACCACACAACTGCTGAAGACTACCTGCCTGCAAAAGGCCTCAAGATTAGGCATGTTGTCCAACTGTTACAGCTCAAGCAGATGCACACACACATTCAGGGCAGGAAAACGAAAACTCCAAAACCACCAAAGCTGCCGGCTATGGAGCTCAGGCTCACGGGCTCTGCTCAGGCAGGCAGGGGAGGGTCCAGAGGCAAACAACTTGCTGTGAGCCAAGGCTAAAAACAAATGTGAACGTAGTCCTGATTGGGCCCAAAGAGCTGAGGGACTGAGAGCCACCAACACGGCAGGATTCTGAACTATATATACCCGGGCTGGGAAGCTGACCTAGAGCATTTGCGTGCGTGCAGTGGGGAAAAGTCTTCCATTTACTGAGGAAAAACTTGATTAAACCAGGAGAACAGGATTAAAAATCCATCCTCTGACAAAGGCTTTACTGACGACTTTCCATACAGTTAGTCAAAAAATAAAAAAATACAGAACACAGCAGACAGTATCTCGTACACTAGAAATCAACGTGACAGGAGTCCCTTTTCTCATTGCTGTTAAAACAAAAGACAAAAAACAAAAACAAAACACAACCCTAAAATCTAAGAACTTAGTTTTGGTGGGGGGTCGGGACTCTGGTCCCCCATTAAATGAACCAAAATAACCCAGCAGAGAATTCAAACCAAGGGGGTAGGATGTGGGGAGGGGGTGGTGGTCAGATCTTAAAATAACTGCTTTTGTGACACAAACGCGGAGCTGGAAACAGGTTTGGGCTAGGCAGTGTCTCTCACTATAACGATCACCATGTGTTCTTCTTCTAGCTTGCCCAATGTCCTCAGTGCGGACTGGAGGTACTGCTGTGAAAAGTCGCAGGGCGGGAAGGCGTAGAGCATGCCCGTGCTGTCTCTGCCCTTGGACCCACCCACCGGCAGGCTGATCACCCCCGCCGCCTGCTTCTGTTTCAAGTAGGAGACCAGGTTCCTGAGAAGTCGCCTCTGTAAGCCTGGCTCCACCGCGGGCATCCCCTCAGTGCCAGGCCCGCTGGGGGTCGCCTGGGTGGCTAGGAGCACCGCATAGCCATTGGGGCTCCCCTGCTTGATCCGCCGCGTGACCTCGTCGAGCTTGGGCTGGTCCAGTCGCAGACGCTGGGCGATCTTCAGCTGGGTCAGCTTGCTCCCGGAAGTGTGGTCTTTGAGGAGGCCCGTGATAACCCCCTGGTCCCCCTCTAGGATGTGCATAGATGTCGGGAAGCAGCTGTTTTTCAACACTAGGAGCCCATTCCAACCCAGCTGCAGTGTCTGGGCATACTCGGAAAGATTCTTGAGCTTTTTGGTCTCGTGTTTTGGCTCTTCCAGAGGCTTGGGCTCAGCCTCAGCGGTCCGATGATTGCGCTCGCTCTCTCGTGTCTTCTTCCCGTGGGAAGAGTCTGGAGCCTCGTGGTGGTGGTGGTGGCTCCGCTCCTCAGCCCCATGTCTGCTGTTGCTGAGGGAGTTGCTGCTGGACTCCTTGGGCCCGTCACTGGAGTGGTTCTCCTTACGGCTGCGCTCAGGGGTGCGGTCAGAGCCCCGGTCCACCTGCTGCCCACCACCCTTGGTCCTGCTCCGTTCCTCATAAGGGGAGTGGGTTGTCCTCCCGCGCTCACTGGAAAGGCTCCTCCGCTTCCGCCTCTCCTCCCAGGGCTTGGGCAGGCCCCGGTCCCCATCTCCCCAGCGCTCCCCACTCCGGCTGCGCACCGACCGGCTGTAGCCCTCCAGGCTGTTTCGGCGGTCGGAGCTTTTACTAGGGCTGGTCCAGTCCCCTTCCAAAAAGGTCCGGTCTCGGTCTGAGTACAGGAGGTGTGGGGGGGTCCTATCCCGCACCCGTAGGTCTGCATCCAGGTTTCGGTGCCGGGTATACCCGTCAGGGAGCAGCTCGTAATGCACAGGGAGGGGTGAGGGCTGGTACTGCTGGGGATACCGAGTCTCCTCTGCTTTGGCAAAATCCACGCGCAGCCTCCGGTCTGGACCACCCAAGGGAAAGCCCCTCATTTTTGCACAGGCGGCCTGAGCTGCATCCAAGCTCTCGTACTGGATGTAGGCAAAGCTATCTCCCTTGACGTGATCAATGGTCCGAATGCTCCCAAAGCGGTCAAACTCCCGGGCCAGAGCGGCCAGTGAGGTGTTAGGTCCCAGGCCGCCCACCCAGAGGCGAGTGGTGGGGTTGGCCTTGCCGTAGCCTATCTTAATGGGGTTTCGGCCAATCACCCGGCCCGACATGGCCACCTTAGCCCTGTGGGCCATGTCTAGGTTCTGGAACTTGAGGAAGGCATACGCACCACCCTGGCCACGGGCAGGCCTCTTGATGACCACCTCCTCAATGATGCCATACTTCTCAAAGGCCCGCCGCAACTCCACCTCAGATACGCTGTGGTCCAGGTTCCCGATGAACAGGTTGCGCGTGGCCCGCTGGTCGTCCTCAGGCATCAGGTCCTCCTCGCACACGGCGGGGTAGCCGTAGGGGCGCCCGCGGTCGTCGTACAGCCCGTAGTAGTCCAGGGCCCGCTCCCGGGATAGCCCCACCGCGGCGGCCGCGGCAGCATCCAGGGCAAAGGCCGCCGCGGCGTGGCGGGCGCGGGGCTCCCGC